GAACCCCGAAGCAGAGCCCACTGGGTCTTATAAAGGATAGAGAGAACCTAGACCCAGAGATGGGATGCTCCACGGAGGACCCCATCACAGGAGAAGCAATGGTGTGGAGAAGAACAGGTGCAAACTTCTAGGATCTGGGGAGCCGTTCAGGGCCAGGCACCTAGGTGCGATAGGCTGGGATGGGCCAGGATTCGGACACCCTCGGGCACTAGGAGTCCACCCCAGAATCAAGTGAATGGAGCCAGGAAATGTTCTCAAACTGGAACTACTGACTGCGCAGCTAGGAGAGGCCAGGACCCCGCAACCAGCACCCCTGACCCCCTCCCTTCCCTCCTCCCCAGAGCTCCCCCATTAGTGCTCCTGAGGGGATACAGCTGCCACCCACAGGCTGGGGGACATCTGGGGGTAACCCAGTTAGTCCCCTTGATGGGGGCCTCTGGAGACCCTTGAGTCCCGAGAGTGGCCACTGGCCTCCTGGCCTCCTGTCCAGGCAGAGGACCCGACCTGCCTCTTCAGGCCGCCTGTGACCACGCACACCCTGGGCAAAGGCCTCGGTGCCACTCGGGTTGGCCGGCTCTGCACCGCCTTGCCCAGTGGGTCGGCAAACTCATTCGTCAACAGAGCCAAATATCAACAGTACAACGATTGAAATTTCTTTTGAGAGCCAAATTTTTTAAACTTAAACTATATAGGTAGGTACATTGTTATTAATTAGGGTACTCCTAAGGCTTAGGAAGAGCCACACTCAAGGGGCCAAAGAGCCGCATGTGGCTTGCGAGCCGCAGTTTGCCGACCACGGGCCTTGCCCAGTAGCTGGGATGTACCCATGAGTGGCAGCCCTGTCTGGAGGAAGGCGGACACCTGCCCAGGACACTGCTCACTGCCTCCTGGCTCCTGCCCGAGCCACGCCAGCCAGGTCCACACCCCTCAAGTAGCGAGAGAGCGAGGAGCAACTTCTAGGGGGCGGGGGGATAGGGGGGACTTTGAGTCAGTCCTCTGAGGCAGAATGAGGGTGTCTGTATAGGGCGGCTCCACAATGAAGTGGGACTGGGCAGGGGAGCCATGTGCTCCATGTGTGTGGCTTCAGGGTGGACAGGCCCGCTCCCTGCCCCAGTGGCCCTGGTCATAAATAGGCCACCAGCAGGGGAGGCTGGCAGGGAGCATGGCATTTCTAAGGCAAACGGGCCCCATGTCTGCCCCAGGCCTGTGGCAGCAAGAGCCCCTCCACTGGCCCTACTCCCCCGCTGCGGTCTAAGAGTGCCCCTGCCCAGGGCTCCCCTGCCCGGGGCACTGCCTTGGGAGGTGGTTGGAAGTGGCCAAGCCGAGGCTGAACTAGGGAGTGAGGCCAGGACCCCTTATGAAAGGATGTAGGTGCCCTGGGCCCGCCTTCCTTAGAAGCCCCAGAGCTCAGGCACCGTGGGTCCGCGGGCAGGCTCTGGCTTCAGACCTTGGCTTGGCTGGCCCAGGCTGCTGGGGGAGACCTCCTTGCTCCTAGCCCAGGGCACTACCAGTCTTCAGGAGGTTGGCACAGGGCATGGGTGGGGCTGGGGAGGCTCCAGGGGCTGAGCAGGGGTGGGGTAGCTGTGGCCCTCCCTGTGGGGAGCGCGTTCCCTCCTCCCCACCCCGCTCCCAGGCAGGAAATAACCCGTCAGCGGGACTGGGGCCCAAGACAGATTCCGAAGCTCTTGGCCTGGGTTCTGCACATCTGGAGCCCAGTTCCTCTCTGGTCCTCGGGAGCCTGTGTGCGGCCCTGCTGGCGGGGTCTCCGTGTCCAGGCTTCAGGGACGAGCTGAGGGGGAACATCCTCCCAGGCTCCAGGTTGCTGGTGGAGGGGCCTTTCTCAGCTGGTGGGACAGGCGGCGGCCCCCACAGTGGCCTGGGCAGTTCATCTGCCCCGAGGCTGCTGGACCGGATGCAGACACAAGCGCACACCCTCACACTGGTACCACTAACACACTGGCTCCCAGACCCTCACCCCACAGCCAGGCCAAACCTCCCCCCGCCCTTGGCTGGGGAGCTTCCACATGCGCCACGGGCCTGGCACAACCAGGAGGCTCCTTCCCAGAGTCCCTGCCTCTTGCTTCAGAGGCCACAGCTGGCTGAGCCCAGCTGCCCCTGCTCATGGCCCCCCCACCTCTCACAACCCCGCCCCAGCTACGGGCGTCACCCTGCAGGAGCCAGACAGACCTCGGGGCCAGGACATGGAACCAGGGCCCGGGGGAAGGGGTGCTCTCTCCAGCCAGCAAGTCCTCAGGGAATGTGAGTGGGCGTTGCTGTGCCTGAGCGTCTGGGGCACCAGCAGGCACTGGCGGGCGGACGAGCCCAAGGAGCCCCAAGACAAAAGACCACCCAGACCGAGGTCCAGCTGAACAGCAGCTTTATTAGTGAAGCTGGAGTCCTGACAGACCGCACTGCGCGGAATGCTCCCCAGCGCCAGGGCGTGTGGGCCGGGACGATGCTGTGAGGAGGACAACGGGATATATAAATAAAGCTTTGGTGTATATTCGGGAAGGCAGGTTAACACTGCGAGACAAACACTGCACACAACACCAGCTCTCAACGGGAAGTGGGTTTTGGCCAAGGGGGTAACTTCTAAGTGATGGGGTGCTGGGGCTGCTCCGAGCCCAGCAGGGGGAGGAGGCATCTAGGGCTGAGGGTCCACCTGGCCCTGCCGCTTCGCCTTCATCTGCAGGTACCGCCCTTTGCCTTCCTCAAAGCGCTTCTTCTCGTCCTCGGTCTCGGGCTGTGGATCACACACAGAAACAGGCAGGTGAGAGACGCGCGGAGCCTGGGGCCATGGGCCTGCCCACCTCCACTGGCCGCCTGGGACCCCCCCGGGCACCCAGCGAGGCCTATCTGCCAGCCATGCCACCTCGAAGGGCCAGGGTGCCTCCAGGGCAGAGCTCTGCAGAGGGGACGCCAGGAGAGAAGACAACTGGGAACGGCCTAACCGTGGGCACCCCCACATCACCATTCACACAGTGAACCCCACACCTGGGCCTCTTGGTAATGAACTTCAGCTGGAGATGCTGCTGATATGAGCCATGGAGGGAGGGCCCAGAGCAGAGTCGAGTGAGAGGAAGGGAAAGGGGCCCTGCTGGGGCCCCATGTCTGCTCCATCCCTAGGATGCCAGCTGCTGGCAGTCTCGCCCCCAAAGGACAGTGGGGACAAACACTGTGGCCATGCGGCCTTGAGAAGCTGTTTCATTGCACTGGAGCAGCCCGATGCTTTGTGGGCACGGATGCCCAGGAGGTGGCACCTTCGTCTCTCCTTCCTCTGAGCAACTTGAGAAGCAGGGCCCCATACTGAGGGGGCGGAGCCAACTGCCCAGCCGGGTTTGCAGGGGACAGTGCTGGCTCATGCCTGCTGACCTGGGCGAGGATGACCGGCGCCCCCTTTCTTTCAGGAGTGGCCCGGCTGCTCACTGCTGTGGGCCCTGGGCGGAGGCCCACCTCCTGCCGCTCAGTTCT